TTCTCCTCCTTTTATTTCCTTCCTGGACAGTGATGGAGAGGTACAAGAGCTACAGTCCTTTTGACATGGTGGAAAGCATCAAGAAGGAGGTGAAAGGAGACCTGGAAAACGCCTTCATCAATCTTGGTAAGAAAAGTAGAAAACCGGATGATCTGACTCTCCGAAGCAAAAAGTACACCACATAACGCCATGCTGGAGGACCTAGAGATTCTGAGAGAGAACATTTCTCTAGGCATTTGTAGATCCTCCAGTTGGAATCGATTATTCATTTCCAATGGTCATGCTGGAGGACCTAAACATTCCTAGAGATGATACAACAGAAGAGGTAATCACTCCATTCCTTCTCCCTTCTCTAGGCATTTGTAGGTCCTCTAACAGAGCTTGATGATAAAGTCCAACTGAAGGATCTAGAGCAGTGGTTCTCAACCTGGGGTCCCCAGATGTTTTTGGCCTTCACCTCCCAGAAATCCTAACAGCTGGTAAATTGGTTGGGATTTCTGGGAATTGTAGGCCAAAAACATCTGAGGACCCCAGGTTGAGAACCACTGATCTAGAGATTGCTAGAGAGAACATTTGTAGGTCCTCCAGATTGAGTCTGTGGTCAACTTCCAATGGAAATTGACCATAGTGTCACACTGGAGGACCTAGAGATTCCTAGAGAGAACATTAAACATTTGTAGGTCTTCCAATAGAAGAATCCTAGAGAGAGCATTAATTTAAGTATTTATTGGTCTTCCAATGGAAATTGGAGAGCTTAGAGGTTCCTAGAGAGAACATTAAGCATTTGTAGGTCCTTCAACAGAGGTTGATGATAAACTCCAACTGAAGGAACTAAGGGATTCCTGGAGACAACACTGCTCTAAGTATTTATAAGTCCTCCAGATTGAGTCTACAGCCAACTTCCAATGGAGTTTGACCATAGTATCACACTAGAGGACCCAGAGATTCCTGTAGAGAACATTGCTCTAAGCATTTGTAGGTCCTCCAATGGAAGTTGACCATAAAGTCACACTGGAGAACATGGGGAGTCCTAGGGAGAATATTAAGCATTTGTAGATCCTCCAATGGA